CATATCCTTTTCGTAATAGTCTTGTTGTAATTGGCATCCAATACACTATTTATAAAGTGTTATTTCAAGGACGTCTTCTGAAATTATGTAAGGCCATCACTAACTCACTCAGTTACGTTAGATGAAATGCGGCTGTTTATAGCAATATGAGACGAAGTTTCCGAGCGGTCACGATTATTTAATTTCTTGCGCAATCAAAATACAGCCACAGTATCGGAGGGTATCCGACGTCATAGATACACGTCCTCTGATTGGCTGGATACCCTCCAAGGTATCCAAATACCTCATTAAGTTACTATTTTTAGTAACATTTGAACCGCGGACCGTATCAGAACACTGCAGACGCATTTGAAAACATTTTCGCGATCGGGTTACGTAACGTCGGGTTATGCCTTCGGAAAGCTCTCGGCTCATCTTCGTCGAAAGTAATTCAATGCTTTAAAAACACGTCTAATGTTACATTTAGAGTTGTAAATTTAAACATTTACGAAAGAATTTGCCCTCGTTCATCTTAGTAAACCCAAATTTTCACTACTTTTGTAAACAGAAATGAATTGCGTGAAAATATATTAATATTGAATTTTCCCCCAAAACTATTTTAGTATGCACAATCGGAAAAATCTGACCGTATCTTGAGCTACACTCGATACCCCCTGGATCCACCCCTGATACCCATGCCAATAATGGTAAGAATTTAGTGTTTACATTGATAATATACATGGTAAAACCATTCAAGACCTGTTAGTGGAAATTTAAAATTATTTCCTGTGATACATGGGAGGCTTTTATTTTGGTGGTGGGGGTTACTGTATGCAGAAGGGTGATCTATATTATATCATATTGTATCTACCATATTTTATATACTGTATACTATATATGACTGTTACCTTCTTTGCAGGGCTGGAAGGAGAAAGGCCAAAGAATGCGTGAAGACATAGACTGTGGCATCATCAACTATGAGTGTCGAATATGTAAGACATCATTCAGTAGGGCAAAGGATGCAGCTTACCATGAAAAGAAATGTGGGAAGTGCACATGTAGCATATACAACAAGATGTTTTCTTCTCAGTTAGCTTTGAGAAAACATACTAATGTTCATGAAGAGAGACATAAGTGTCAAACTTGCAACAAAGCATTTGATACAAATTACATTCTTAAGCGTCATATGAAGGTGCATAGTAAAGAAAAGGAGTTTCCATGTTCTTCCTATAATTCTGCATTCACCTTAAAGGCGAATCTAAGACATGAAAAAACAAACTGTATGAATGTTATGTAATTGAAGCAATCTGACAGAGAGACAAATTGAGTGGTTGTTATTAGGTTGATATTTCAGAATTTATTGTTAATTAAGGTAGTAAAATGTCAATAAAAGTTTTGATATAATTCAAATTAGATTAATTGAATAACTGCATAAAAATTTCAAGTGGAATACCACCATATTGCAAGCTCAAACTATAGTAATAAGGATGGTTGTTTTTGCCATCTTGCTAGAAATATGCAATTTCTATGTGCTAATTATAGAAATTAATAGTTAATAGTATAACTGTATTTTCTTTTTATGAAAGTGCAACAATGGATATGTTGTTGCATCATAAACCTTATTTATAAATTGCAGCTGGATTAAAATTATTTTCTAATTTTGTATAGACAAGTCCCTTATTAATGTACATTGCATATAAAAGAATTTGAAATTGGCAGCAATTTAAGGATAAGGTCTTAACTACTTTTCATATACTCTTGTCTTTGTTGCCATACTTCTTCCCGCTTTCTTTGCCACTGGTTCATTTCGGCTGGGCGAACTAGAAGCGGCTGTATCATGCGAGGGGATGAGGAACCAACTGTTGAATTAATTCTCTTTGTGTTGTTGGTATTAGGATTAATATTATTGGAGGTGCATCTCATTAGTTGGTGGTTAGGTTGGGCTTAGAGCGAGACGGGGTATTGATTAGGGTTTTTTTAGAGGAAGTAGTTTTCGTTGACACATTAGGTGGAGATGTATAGGAACTACCATGGGACGTGTTATGATGGCGTTTATACGGTTTAAACCTGCGGAGGGTTCTACCTTTGTTAGTTTTATCACCAATATCATTAGTGACCTGTATAATATTAGGGGCCATTAGTGTGTCTGGAGAATTACTATATATATATATATACATATATATTGGTGGGAATTATCCATGTTGCTTAAGAGATTAGTTTTAGTCTGATTATGATTCTCAATTAGTATATCAAGGGGTGTACTAGATGTGTTAGTGAGGGCTTCATCCCACAGTTTGTATAGGTCATGCTGTAATCTGACCCTGCATTCCACCTTAGGTGCAAGGCCTGTTGGGGTGGTATTCACCTCTTTGTGCTGCACAAGCTTATCCAGTGTAGGGTATTAGTTCTGTGAAGATTAAATTTATGGTTATTCAGTGCCTTGAAGGTCCTATGTAAATTATTAGAATACTGTTAATAATGTCTCTGGTCGGGTTAGTATGTAGGTTAACATAATTAGCATTAAAGGGTGATGTTTGTGTATAATCTCTGGTGTTTTTTTGTGTTAGGCCTTCCACAGTCCAGTCGAATCTGAGGAATTTTGGGCCTTATTGTTAGTTGCAGTGTTATGGTTAATGTTGTCAACATCTGGGCCTAATAAAATTTGTTCTGTTGTTGGGTCGGTCTCCATGTCAATATCATCATCATTCATTAATTCTACCATTAGTGCTTCAGTCGTATTCTCCTCTACCAATACTTGGGTATGGCTGGTTGTATCTCCACTCTTGCTGGTATTGGCAGGTGGATTTACTTCAGGTGTTTCAGAGAATAGGGTATTAGTATCTGCATAAGCATTAGTCTGGTTACTGTAGCTCTCAACATTCGTGTTAGTGCTATGATTATTATGTTTGTCATTGTCATTATTATTATGAACAGCGGATTCTGAATTCGGGAGAAGAGGACGAACTAAAATAAATTAAATAAGGCTGCGTTATTGGAATTGATCCCAGGGTATAAACGCAATACGGATAGCAAAATGTACTTAAAATATCGCATATATTAACTGAAATTTTCTACATATAAGGAATTAAATCACACTGCACACAGGTGTACTATTTAAACATGTAGAAATGCAAACATATTATTTGTCAACTAATAAAAATAAAAAATTAAAAAAGGGGTCAAGATATATATTAAAGTTATTGGATATAGGCTGTATATTAAACATAATGTGCCATTGTTACAGAGTGGGAGATGGCAGGTCAATGTCATAACTACCAAACAGTACAAGGAGCATGTTTAGCTCTATGGTATGAAAGGTATGGAATGAAATTAATGATGAAATAAAGAAACTTAAACCATCAAAATTCAAAGCTGAAGTTAAAAAATTCCTACTGCAAAAATACAAGGAATGATTGTCAAAACTAACAAAAGAAAATTAAAAATACAAATTAATAATTACATGCAATTATATTTGAACAAGATTTTCTTTTTTTCTCTTCCTTTTGTTTTTTCTCTTCTTTTGAATAGTTATAAGCAAGGTACTAGTAATAGTGAATTAATTATTTATATATGAACAATTTTTGACCTTCAAGTTATACTTCTGTGCTTTAATTAAGATTAATTGGAAATGGAAATATATTATTTATTAAGCTAGCTGCCTCGTTTAACCTAGTGGTTACTGCTGCTAGCTTGCACCCATATCAGGATCCAAATATTTAATGTAATTTTTTTTTTTAAATAATGGTGCTCAATAAAAAATTGATTGATTGATACCGTGTTTAGCTCTACCGTTTTAGCTCTACCGTGTTTAGCTCTATGAGTAATATCGACATTTGTTGGTATAAAATAGGTAATTGGACAAATACTTGTGTAAGCCCATTATGTAGCCTAAATAATGAGGACCAGTAGTCCAAATGGTTATCCTTTATTTATTTATTTACTCCGACTCCTACGATGAACATGTATGCAAAAAGACTAGGGAAACTACAATTAGATAGAAACTATAAAATACATGAAATTTTTTTCGACACAATAAATTGAATTTGAGTAGGAGAGGCAACCCCCCTGTACGTGTTTCGACCTAACAGTGTTCTTCAGCACAGTTTTTTAAGCGGGGTGTAGGTAGAGTTTGCAGAGTAGACTGAGAATGCAGGAGAGTTTAGGAGTACGGAACATATGAGACACCAACCGAGAAACAAGTTAAAACAAAGTTATTATAAACAATCACACAGCACAAAAATGAAGGTTGAAAGAAAGTGAAAAAGGATGAAATTACTATATATTATTAGTCAAATTATCCTACCAAAGGGTCTTGTCGTTGCGTGACATTCCAACACTACGTACTTTATTGTTCATCTTTTAATTTGCATTTTGTGAAGCGATGCAATTTGCTAATCCTTTTAGGTTACTTACTCAATGGTAAAGTGATTTTGAATGATTGTGATGGAAGGGGTGGAGTAGGATTTATCCCCGAGCCGACAGCGCAAAGCGCCGTGCGACGGTACTTATTCCCCCCGGCTATTTACACCCGTGGAAACGAAAGCATTAGCCAAGTCTAAAGTTCATCAATGAGCGCGGCCGTGGGTTACCGTGAGTGGTTCGGTGGTTCGTTGGTGGTCATCCTCACTAATCTCAAAAATATGGTGGACTGTCATGAATAGGGGACACTGATTGGTCCAATTTAAAGTTTGCATCATAACGACTGTTGACTGTATGACGACAGTGAAATAGCAAACATTTCTTGATTTGATGATTGATAAATTTCTTGCAAATATATTTAATATTTGCTCGCATTTTTGCAAGATTTTGTAAATTTCTAATCGGCTAAAAGAAGGGAGCCGACGTCAACAAAGGTAAGTTTTGTTTTAAATATTGATTTTATAATTGCTTTAAAACCTGACAGCCGCTTTGGCCCTTTGGCTTTGCGCATATGAAACAACTAAACAAGACAGCATATAATTTCAGTGTATTAATAATATTGATTCCCTTTTTTATTAGGCCTATATTGAATTTTTTAAATAAAAAAGAAAGTTATTTGCATGCAAGAATTTGAAATCATTTTATTGCAAACTCAAAGTTTATCGATAAAGCCATTTTAATAATTAAAGGCAGTTTTAATAGTTTTATAAAGAACATTTTAAAACGTTTTGCGAAGCTTTTGTGGTTGAATTTTACCTTAAAATTGAAGCTTATATAACATATAATAACATACCTAACATATATATGTTGGGAAAGTGATAATTTTGTAATTAAAAGTGATACTTTTAGGCGATTTTTCATTTGTAAGCTAGAATATTCTTAATAAATTATCGTGTTACCATGACAACAAGTTTGGATACTTCATGTTCGGAAAATACAATGGTTTTGTCAGCAAGGCGAGGGTTTCTGCATACATATGTATTTTCTAGTTTAGTGGTGTGATCATGTGACTGTAGGTGATTGCATCCAAATATGGGTGCCAGTAGCTTGATTGACAGGGATAGGGGCGTGAGGCAATGAGTTATGTAAGGAAAAGTATTGATAACATTGTTGCAGGGTTTGATTTTTTATAAAAATATATGATTATGCAATAACTGAACCAACATAGATGGTAAATGAATAATATGATTTAGTATAAACCTACTAGTAGGCTATCATGTATCGTGCGTTCTGATTGGCTAAGTATTAAAAGCTGTATTTAAAGAGAAAAAGCTTGTCAAAATGGCCTAATTTTGGTTCTGGATTACACACAAACAAAGACTATTGGAAACTGCTGACACATGCAATAAAATGTTTAAGTTTTCTCAACTTTGCTCGTAGTTTTGAACATGAAAGTGACAGGCGATTTTTTTAAATATATGCGTTATCGCATAAATTACATTAAATATATGCAGAATCGTTGAAATTCAACAATACTTTGTAGCTATTTACCCCTATTTTCTCAACCTCTTTAGTGTGTGCTTGTTTTAAGTACGAGTTCATGTATTTAGCTGTCATTTTAAAGAATTTTTTTCGTTTAAATGTTGAGATTTTGGCCGAGTTTGTTTTTCTCCTTTTTAAGGCGAGTTTTCCGATTAAATTTTAATCTAAACTATTGTCTATGTATACTAGATTATGGAAATGGTTTGCCTCTATGTTATGTTCCAGATATTTTAAAGATTTCAACGACATTCGGATAATTGGATTCTTTTGCATGTGTGTGCATTTTTATTCGGCTTTTTATATAACATAAACTTTATTTACTAATTTAGTAACAATTTGGGAAGCCATTTTGTGTTCGAAATTTTGGACTTTTTAAGCTTTGTTTCCTTCTTTTAAACAAGTTTTAATTAACCAAACTTTGCTTCTATAATTGTCTCTTATGACATGTTTTTTAACTCATTAAGCGGCAATTCGCCTGTATGCGCCCAGATATTTGCAAGGCGGTAAGCAGCAATGCGCCCGAATTGCGGGCATGATATTTGAGCATGTGTTTATCGGGTTGCCTAGCAACAGATACTAAAATAGAACGTGAAATTCGAGCTTTTCAACAGTGTATCATGCAAGAAAATCGGCCAAAAACTCGCAAAGTTTTTTAAGTTTAAAACCTTTTTTCAAAAATAGTGAACAATGGCGATACTGTTGCAAAGGATTTTACAGCAACTTTTAAAAGCAAAAAATAAGAGGTTTTTGAACGGTCCCACTAAATACTGCCCAGAGCGCCCGGAAACGCCTGGGAGTGCCCTGGGACTCCCTGAAGCGCCCGAGAGTGCGTGAGAACGCCCGGGGATATACAAGACAGTATAAATCAGTGCATGATGCTTTTTGAGTCTCTATGAGGCATTATATTAATGAAAATAATATTAAAAGTGATTTTCAACCAGTCTAGCAACAAGCAGTAAAGTGCGGTCGCCCACACAGGAAGTTGTGCGAAACATGAGATTATATTTATTATAAATCTAAATATTTGCTGTTATTAAATTAAACTAAAGTTAAATAAAAAATTAAGACTAGTTTTGTTTTATTATATCAACTGCTCAGAACAAGTCAATTGTCGTTTGGCGGCTTTCAAAAAATTTTTGTGAATAAGATTACCCGATCTATGACTATACATAAAAGTCAAAAACAAAAAAGCTCATAAACTAAGTCTAAAAAGAGAAGATGAAAGACTAAAATATATCCTAAAGTTCCTAATCTATACTCTAGAGTAGATAAAAATCATTGATAACACTATATTTTACTAATATTTAGGCTGAAAACTGCGTTTTTGTTTACGCGGAATGCTTTTATGAGTTTATATGACGCTAATTTAATTAGTAATGTTTTTTATTTGGCCCAATCTTAATGACAAAATTTTTTCGAAAGCCGCAAAAAGACAACTGACTTGTTCTCAGCAGTTGATATATTAAAACAAAACTAGTCTTAAATTTTTATTTTAACTTTAGTTTAATTTAAATAACAGCAAATATTTAGATTTATAATAAATATAATCTCATGTTTCGCACAACTTCCTGTGTGGGCGACCGCACTTCACCGCTTGTTGCTAGGCTGGTTGAAAATCACTTAATATTATTTTTCATTAATATAATGCCTCATAGAGACTCAAAAAGGATCGTGCACTGATTTATATTATCTTGTATATCCCCGGGTGTTCTCACGTGCTCCCGGGTGCTCCGGGCAGTATTTAGTAGGACCCTTTTTGAATGATCTAGAACGAAAATTTGGCATGAAATTAAAGCGAATGTATTGACGTTTTGGGGTCAAGTTCTTCTGTGAACCATGCGCAAGATTCTCAGCCAAAAAGATGAGGATTTCTCCAAACTTTATCAAAAATAGAAGTCAGAAATCACATGAAATATGAACACGGAATACAAGTGAGCAGATACGATATTTTTAAGCGTATTTTTTAGTAGAAATATGTGATCAAACACTCACAAAATTCGACCGCATTAAGGTTGGTCGAATCTAGCTTAAAGTTATCTTTTTAGACAAACTGTTTTCGTAAC